ATATAATAGTAACACTTATATTTAAAAATGCACCACATAAGAACAGAGTATTACATTCGACAGGATAAGTATTTTGTATAAATAATGAATAGAAGTCATAATTGTTTATGCATGTTTACAAATTTATTTAATCAGGTCAGGGAACAAGTATTATCTGGACATTCATCTATAAATTAATTTTGTATCAGTTTAGTTTTGTTCATAGTCGCAGGGGGTGGGAGCTGCCTGGATACATTATTTTATCGGGGACCTGTTTGTGTCAAAAAACAGTCAAAAGGCTGCTGGAGCCACAGACTTTTGAAATAAATGGGATATTTTTTTCCCCTCCAAAAAATAACCAGGAAATATAAGACCAGTCAATACAATCAATGGCGGTTGGTTCATTTAGAAAGATCAAAGTCAAAACAATAAAAAGGCTGAGTTTTTCTGCACAAAACTGAAGTTCCTTAAAAAGATTTTGCACTTATTTATTCCACACCCTGAAAAAAAAAKCCACCGTGCCAAAAACATACACCACTTACCAAACTATTTACAATTTTAACATGTCAGCTTCAACAAATAGAAATATTAATTTGTTCTGTACATCAACTATGAACAGAAAAATACATTTAAATTTTGTGAAATCTGAATGTATTTTCACCCACTGGTTCACACAAAATTTTAAATTATCCATAAATGAGAAACTAAAAACAAAAACAAAAAAAAAAACACAAATTATTTCACATTTATTTTTTGTGAGATGTTTTACATTCATTACAGTCTAAGATTATCTCTACAATTCCAGTTTGGCTTTAAAAAATCTATAATAAATCACTGCTTTACCACTTTTATTTAAGCATTTGGAAAAGTTGACATGTAATAAATGTGTTTTGTCCACACTCTGGTTGTAGAGAATCATGTAGTGAGCTWCTGATTATTTAAAGTAAATATCATTAAACTTAAAACTGCAGAATCATCCAGGGTTTCTCAAAAGTTTAACAAGCTGTGCTTTTCAAGTTGTCATGAATATGTAGAGTTACAGGTTAAAGAAAAGCTTCAGAGAGAAAAAATCAATCTGGAATTGAGCATTGAAAAAAAAAACTCATTGAAAGACKTCACAAACATWTTCGTTTCATATATCAGCTTCACTCCTTTCAAAGCCTCCAAATAAATTATCGTCTAGCCGTTCAGTCTCTGAGTGACCACTTCTCTGTACATGATGGAAATGTACACAAACAACAGGAGGATCACGAAGAAATCGTCCAGCAAACCCAGAAGGCCGAAAAGTGCTTCGGGGAGAATGTCGAGCGGGGAGGCCAGGTAGGTGACGGCACCTATAAGACAGAGAAGAATTCGAATCCTGAACATCCAGAAGAGTCCGCCCACAGAAAACATCTCCCTGAAGGCGTGACGAAGCAGGGTGGGTACATCGCGCAGTCTGTCCATTATCTGAGGGGAAGTGGAGACGAAAACAGCTGAAAAGAAATGTACTCGTCTATAATAAAATGCTTTTGATTGTTGTTTTTATTTAGCAGTGCTACAAATTTAATTTTTTATGAGAAAAACATAAAACGTATATTTTAATATTTAAAAAGAGCATTCTCATAAATATTTACAATTTTATTAAAGAGGGGTATTA